GTTTCGTTGTCTAGCTCTATCTTCTAGCACAAGTGCAGGGGACGAAATCTGTCTTAAAAAGATTTGTATTCGCATACTTCGTTTCATTTTTTCCCATTCTAATTTCTACCATTCACTGAGTCAGACTTTGTGCATATTTTCATGCGCATGTCTTGGTTTTGAAATGTTGAAACTCTGTTTTGTATTTTGATTTTGAATCAGCAAATCACGATTTTATCGTTTTTGTATGCACATATTTTTCACTAAAATGAATATAATAATGCATAAAATCTCCAACATTAGTCAGCCAAACCTACCAATAATAACTTTATCTACTGAAATAACTTTCTTCTTGTCCCAACCAACACAAATTTTCATCATTTTAACTGTCTCATGAAGATGACATAAATTGAAAATCACCAAATTTGGTCGTCGCCAATTTTGTAGAAATTGAATTCACTGCAGGGCAACCGTACACCAATTTTTGTGAGCCTATTAATAATAGATGTCTATCTTTAGCATGTGTGGTTCAAATTTCTTTTTGAAGACAAACCTTTATCTTGTTTACGATGAAAACGACCGTTTACCAATTTTTGTGAGCCTATTAATAATAGATGTCTATCTTAGCATGTGTGGTCCAAATTTCTTTTTGAAGACAAACATTTTTTTTTTTTATACCCAGGTCTCCCAGCTTAGCCAGACTAAATCCTGGACCTCTAGCCACCGGCCCCTCAGTGACTCGAGGAAGTAAACCGCCGGTTATGTCCTTGTTGGCTCCCAGGTTCCTGCATTGCTTATACTCCTGGCCCCAAGAGAGCTCTCCTCACTGCCTTCCAGTCATTGCCTTGTTTCCAAGACTCGTGCCTTCCAGGATTCGAACTCTCCACTCTGGGGTTGCAAGCCCACAAATGCAATTGTTCCACCAAGTTGGATGTGCCCCGGGGGCCCAAACATTTTTCTTGTTTATGATGAAAACGGTCAATTATCATTCTAACATATTTTTTATTCGCATTGTTTTTATAATTCATAATTATTATTCACTTTTATAAACATATTTCGTAAAATCCACAACTTATAACTAATTAAATTTTAATTTTACTTACCAAATATGTGTTTAATCAAATATTTAAAAGATAAGAAAAAACTACTAAATTTGAGCAAACAAATAGTAAAGGAAATGAACACAATAATTTGTTTGTGATTCAAGATGGCTATATCCACGTTGAGTTTCAGTTTTGAGCTCTTTCGCATTATTAGCTTTGAAATATCTACACGTAGGAGATCACATGCAAGGTTCTAAAATGCATAATGCATGTCAAAGCGTTTCAATCGAAAATCAAGTATTACAAGTATAATGCATGTCAATTTTTAATGTTATTTTAAATATTTTAAAGTAATAAATAAATAAAGTAGTGCATATATACATATTCTTTAAATTTTCAACAAAAAATGTTGCTCAAAATCATAAATACTATAATTACTTGAACTTTATACACATATTCTGCAAATTTTCAACAAAAAACATATTGCTCAAAATCTTAAATACTACTCCAATTACTTGGTAATCAATTCTTACAATGAGATTGACAAGAACACCAGTTTAAAAACCATAAATCTTGTCTAACTCTATCGAATTCCAATTCAATATTCTCTTCTTCGTCAAGTCATTTTCCATGTCATTTGATGCAATCTTCATCAAACTTCCTTATTTCAATTCAAGAATTTCTAAATGGTAATATATCATGTTAACCTCCTCCTTATCATCACAACTATCAACAATCAAAGATCGTACATTATTAGCATTATTTGCTAGTAAAATTAAATGAAGATCGAAGAAGAAAGCTCAAACTCGGCGTAGATAGTTTGCAACTCTGCGAAAAATTTGTTTTGATTTTCTAAAATTCAAAACCCTATAGATTGTTGTATATAATTCATGGACTTCGACAAGTCCCTTAACAATTTGCACATCAGGTCCCTCAACTACAATCTTATACAATTTGGTCACAACTTCACAATTTTGTACGCTTGTGGTCCCTTTTCACTTCATTTTGCCTTGTTGCCTTTCTTTTTGGGGTTTTGACTTACAAAAGTCATAATTACACGATTTTGAATAGAAATTCGCTCAATTTAATCAATAATTAGCTTGTTAAAGTATTTAATAAGTGTGTAAAAACACATTTATCACTAACCAACACAAATTTTCATCATTTTAAATGGAAAAATAATATGTTATTTTGCTCACGATGACATAAAATTGAAAACGACATCTCAATTCTAAATTAAGAAAGGGAAACTCTTCTTGGCCCGGCTC